GTTTCAAGTATCCTTAACTCTAAATTGTATATTCACACAAGAATGACTTAAGTCAACCAGACATATACATGACAGGAATATAGATTTGTGACAATTACTTATTTTTCCCCTCATTTTGAAAGATAAGTCTTCCAAAAATTATTCTTTACCTTCAAAGCACAAAATATGCACGCATCTCCCTGACACACATGTCCAGTTAAACCTCTTAAACTTCGTCGAAAAACGTCAAGCTGCCACAACACCTATAAAAATAAAGTTTCACAGAACAGAAGTAATGAGTTCTGAAAGTTCTATGTTTAAAACAATAACATACAGTAATTTATTTTTTGTTTTTTTTTTTTTAATTTCATATAATGTACTACTAGAGCATCATACTGCTACAAGAATTATGGTCCTTTTCCATTAGCTTGGTGAATAGTGGAAATGCAGTTGCATTTACCACTCAAAATTTAGATCTGTTTAAACTTTGTGAAACAATGGCAGACCATGTGTGGAAAAAGAGGTGAAGCACTCTTACGGAAACAAGTAGCAAGCTAAACTGTGTACAGAGATTCTAAGACTTCTTATGGCTTTACAAAAGAAGAAGGTAGCTATGGTTCTCTTTCTCATTCCCCCTCCCTCCTTTCGTACTTTCTTTCAAATAAAGAATAAAAAATATGGAAACTGAACTGCTGGGTAAAATGCAAGCATTATTTTGGGTTAAATCTATACTACATTCTTATGGTCTGTTACTAGAACAACTGCTGTAATGTATTTGTTTTTCCACATATCAAACTAACCCTGGGGCTTAATCAGGCCTGTTTCTACTTTTTATTTGTATAAGGGTAATGTCAGATTGGCTACACACACTACTTTCAGTAGCTGACGTCTTAAGTACATAATCTGTGCAGTAGTTCAGAAAGCTGAGAATTAAAAAAAAAACCCACAAACTTCCTCTTCCCCCTCAGAAATAAATTCCAAGAGGCACAGTAACAAGTGCATATCCAGGTGAAAAACCTCAATCCTATCTATAAATATAAAATCTAAAAATAATTAGGATGCATTTGAAAATTAATATCTGAAACTCAGTTCTAAAGGGTGAACGTAGAGTTAGAAGCAACACATTCCTCCTTGCAAAACAGCAGTCACCAATCAGCCACTGCTTCACAAACAGCAATAGGATGTGAAGTAGTAGGATTCTCTGAAACTATAACTAAAAATTATTTAGAATTTATTTTTAGGTCACTCTAAGTGAAAACAGCAAAACTGCAAGAGAAAATAGGTCAGGCTGTTCCCACTGAATGTAAAACAGCAAACTCTTTCTACTAAATCTATTACATATATTTTAAGTTTATGCAGTTGCTATACACACCACATACAGATCTTTCCAATTTCCTATGCTTAAATCCATACTGTTTTTAAGAACTAGAGTGTTGTGGTTTTCTTTTGAAGGAAGCCAATGCAGCTATTCATAGCTCTTGCCAGTTTGGTAAATAATTCTGTACAATTTGATAACAATTAGGTCCAAAGTTTAAGCATTACAAAAAAGTACTTTGTTCTGTTCTTTATTTACAGAGTCTAGAAACTTGCTGCTGTTAATTTCCAAATTTAAAAAAAAGACTACAATATAAACTTAGTTATTCATGGTATACCAATTTGCAGACTGTATAAAGACTAGCATTGCTCTGCCAGAGAATTAAGTAGATCCCTATATTCCCTGTCATAAGTAGGCTTGTAAAATATCAATTTTTCACCAGATATTGTCACTATTCCCAAGACATCTGAAGAGCCACCATTTTTTCAATTTCTGCTCAGAGCAGTATGTAAACAAACACATGCAAGAACTTGGCGAGTAATACACATGCATACAAACAGTAAAAGAAATCTAAATCACATTTCTTTGGTATCAAATTTATCTCCTTCTCTAATTCATAGAATCATAGAATGCTTAGGTTTGGAAAGGACTTTAAGATCATGTAGTTCCAAACCCCTTGAAACAGGCAGGGAGACCACACACTAGACCATGTTGCCCAAGGCTCTATCCAAGCTGGCCTTGAACACTGCCAGGGATGGGCCATTTATCACTTTGGGCGACCTGTTCCAGTGCCTCACCACCCTCACAGTAAAGAACTTTTTATATCTAACCTGAACTTTACCTGTTTCACTTTAAAACCATTCCCGCTTATCCTATCACTACAGTCTTTCCTGTTAGAATCAAAGCTTTCAGCTATACATGCATCTTCTGGTATGTCCCAGAACAACAGGCTTGTGCTAATTTCGAGAAAAGAGTATTTTAATAAAAACAGTGTCCTATTCAATACAAATAGTAGTACTGACTGCCCCACATTAAAAAATATCTCAGATTTTGATAGGTAACAAACTTATGTTTGACAGAAACATTAGTTTAAAAATTCAGCAGCAAGTTTTAAAGTTAATGAGTCATGAGTTTCCAGATACAAAATGGAAGTATTTCTGATATTCTTAAAGCATGCAAACAAAACAACACTGTAATCTTTTGCAAAATTAAATACTTAATACTCAATTTCTTGAAATTAAATATTAAATATGATTATTTCCATGGAGTAGTCTTTTCTACAGTTGCCACATTTCCTTCCTCCCCTTGCCTTAGGAAAATCGATTCCACACAGACATGCTTTTCTGTCTCACTTGGAATCATTAAGAAGTTTAACCAAGAACTGAATTTAACACTATTGAAATTTCCTGTAGAATACACATACTGCAATATGAATTATAAGAACAGCATTGCCAAAAGAACACTTTCCCTACTGTGACCATCTAAGCTGCTATAAAAGCAAAACTGTTAATAAAACAAGTTGTTTTCTTACCTGAACAGCACTATTAAGAAAGCAGCTGTTTTGTCCTGGTTCATTTAATAAGCCTTTTGTAGGGGCCAGGGACAGTATACTTCCAGGCTGATAAACTCTTCCAAGGTTACCCCCAGGTTTTCTTAAGAATTTCACCCATGCCATTATTTTTTAGTCTTTGTAACTGCAATATTTACACTTAAATAATTAAGGGTACGATGGGTGCAAGGCAAAGAAGAAGGTCCTATGAGAATTACTCTAAAATCATGGTGTTCCATTCAGCTCTATACAACAGTAACCAGTCACAGGTTTAAGTCCGTTTCCAGGAGCTGCTGTCAGCCACCTACCATGATCAGTGTCTCAGTCAAAATACAGATGTATAAAATCTTTAACTCTCAAAGAAAACCAAAAGGTGTCCAGTTAAGTTTAAAACGTGTGAAAAAGTTATCAGAAGTTCTTATTAAGCAAATAGCACAGTAACTGACTTCTCCTTCCGGTGATATCAATTAAGTATTCCTATAAATCACCAGCTGTATTATATTTAAAAAATGGAAAGTTCTTAACAGTAGTTATATTCCTGTTCTCTCATTCTGTTCCATCTTCTTTTTACTTTTAACTGTGACCCATGAAATACATTCCAGTTTAGAAGACTCCATGTTTATTTCATTCTCTTTCCAGTGAATCTGAAATAAGAAAAAAAAAAAAGAAAAAAAACCAGAAAATATAAAAATACAGTTTCCAAAAGGTTAAATCCTCCAAGGTCAGGAAAGGGATCATGGGCAAAACAACCTCCTAACCTAAAGGTAGGTGCAACAATAACCAGGGAAGAAGAAAAGAAACAACTACCACCTAAAAGTTGTTTTAAAGGTGAAAAAAAAAGTATTTTATGTCATAATCATTTCTCTTCTAACTTACTAGACCTCTAAAAACCATGATAAAATTACTCTAATGGTTGTGCTAATGATATGCAACTGCTTATAAAAAGAACACATATCACATGAATTTTCTGTCTCTGAATCTCCAAGTCTTAATAAAAAGACTGCCAAGTGTTTTTATCCAACACTTGAAAGCCTAAGATGGTTTTGATTTCAATATCCTAGCAAATCACACAAACCAATACATATTTCTGTGCCTGAAGATTACTAAAATGTACAGATTGTCAGCTAATACTCAGCTTTCAAAAATTTGTATTAAATATCACATAAATACTTTATTAGCCTGGTTGTATTCTTACAGCATCCTGAAAAACATAGCAAATAACAAAGCAAGAGTATTCCAGTAGATGCCCCAATAACCGATTCTAAGATTTTTGAATTCCAGCAGTTGTTTCTCTTATTGCTGAAGGTGCATGTTTAAGGCTAAATGACTCATCATCCGAAACATCACAGGCATATATAAAGCCCATGCAGTCATCACCTCATAACAATGGACTGTTCAATCAGTTTAGCATAACTATTTAATCACTACACAAAAATTTTAAGTAACTGCACAGAGCAGAATAAAGTTAAAGGAAAACAATAAAGGCTGCGTATTTGTGGAGAGGAAAAAAAAAGGGGGGGGGGGGGGATTGAAATTATGGCCTCACATTACAACCAAAATATTCACTTAAATTTTACAAACATGTGAAATAGGCAGACTTCTCACTATAATCTTTGTCAACTGTGCAAGCCTTTCAAGATTGGTGAGCAGCATTAAAAAACAACAATAAAGTTTCTAACTGGAACACTGGGTAAATTAAAAGCTAACTTTTCCCAGCTCAGAACGACCAACACCACATTAGCAAAAAGTTCTACGAGTATTGTACAGTTGGGATACCACAGAAACAAATCGCATGACTTCCAAAAATACCTGCAGGCAATCTTGCACCCCTAAAACTATTGCCCTTTTATTTAAAAGGAACATTAATACTTGCCTGCATTATAAAAAATAATAATAATTAAAAAAATGTATAAAAATCACTAACTGGAACCTAACCAAAAGTCCCTTCTGCCCCACGTACAATCAGATGTTTTTGTTTGTTTACTCATGTTACTGTACCTCACCCATAAGTAATTTGATGTAATAATACTGGAAATATTAAGTGTGATTTGTGACAGCACTGAGGAAGAAGTCTCCAATCTAACTGGAAACTGACCTTGACAGAATATCATGTGGTAATTTTGTTTTCTTTGTTTACTTCAATAAACATAGAAAGTAAAAAAAAAAAAGTATCGAGTAACTGGAAACGCGTATTAGCTTAAGATCTTATCCGAACCTTAATTAAAAGGAGTATCAATTTCAATTTTTTCCCCCCACATTAAAGTCAAAGTGCTCCACAGTGTAACACCCATTTTTCCACAAAGGGCCAAACTCTTAAGAAAATCGGGACAGAGGTGAAAGTGAGAGTAAAACAAAGATTAGCACAGAAAAAGATGAAAGATTCTTTGAAGTCAGGTATGCAGAAGTGTTAACATGGTATCTGCACAGAGCAATTAAACGCAAGAAAATATTTTCACAAGTGTTTGAAAAGTTTGAAAAGTTTCAAACTTTTGTTTGAAACATCTCAGTTTTTTGTTTGAAAGTTTCAGTACAGTACATTAATAGAAAACAATGAATCACTACAGTAAAGAGGAGTCAAGTAAAAAATGTAAGATGTATAGCTGTTTGTAATCAGATACATATATATGAACACATATAAAAGAAATGTATTCAAGAAGCTAATACCACACATCAAAAGCACTTAGTAATATGATGCGTTATTTGGCCCAAAAAGTCTCCTGCTGTCACAGGGAATCATAACTTTTAACTGCTAAGGATAACATCAGAAATATAACTAAAAAAAAAAAACAACCCACCAAACAACACCCCCAAAACTTCAAAAACTAAAAAAAAAAAGCCAAACAAACCCAAACAACCCAGAAAAATCTTCCATTGAACTCTTTCAACCACCAAATACTTTCTACTGATTTCTGATTTAGTATTTCTCTATTCATATTGAAAAACTGACCCAATACATTTTTGTCAGAGAAAGAACCTTCCCCCTGACATACTAAAAAATCTGCTTGAGCATGCATTTTATTGGTGATACAGGGTTCCTGATTCCACTTTATATAGTTTCCCATATGGAGAATTGTGTACCGTTTTCTCCCCCCTCCTGCTCCTGTCCCAGAAGACAAAACTGATGTTAAGATGAACTATATTTGGTAATCAGCGATGTCAAACTGGGTACAATGAAGAGGAAAAAACAGGAAAGAGACTGGACTGGAATAGTACAGATGGCCTGTGCTACCCATAAAGGCGTGAAGCATATTTGCATGACAATGCATGCTTGAGGTGTCCCTCATTGTGCTCTTACCTTTGAGAGGGCAAGAGCAACAGGATCAAAACAGTGAGGCAGAAACACTAGGCTTGCTGTCAAGTCTCCCAACTGAATAAACTACATCTCTCATCTCCAAAACTGCTTATGCACTGGTACCGCACCAACAGTGGCAATTCAGCAAACCTGTTGCCTGCTGTCTTCATTTCATGTAGAGATTGCTCAGCATACAGCAGCCAAAATAAGGGAGTTCTTCCAGAACAATTTAAGACAAAGAGTACTCAATCACTAAGAACTCCTAGAAAGTAATTCTGTCTTGCATTTCAGGGATGCTTGGAAGTATTGTGTACAGTTCTGGTGTCCTCAACATAAAAAGGACATGGAGCAAGTGCAGAGGAGGACCACGAGGAGGAGGAGGAGACTGGAGCACCTCCCATACAAATAAAGGCTGAGAAAGTTGGGGCTGTTCAGCCTGGGGAAGAGAAGCTGCTTGGAGACATCAGAGCAGTCTTCCAGTACCTGAAGGGGGCCTATAAGGATGCTGGGGAGGGACTCTTCATTAGGGACTGTAGTGGTAGGACAAGGGGTAATATGTTCAAACTCAAACAGGGGAAGTTCAGGTTAGATACAAGGAAGAAGTTCTTTACTGTAAGGGTGGTGAGGCACTGGAATGGGTTGCCCAAGGAAGCTGTGAATGCTCCATCCCTGGCAATGTTCAAGGCCACGTTGGGCAGTCTTGGGGTGATATGGTTCAGTGCAAGGTGTCCCTGCCCATGGCAGAGGGGTTGGAACTAGATGATCTTAAGGTCCTTTCCAACCCTAACTATTCTATGATTCTAAGCATTTACCTGCTGGGCTGGGTTTCAGAAAAGTTAATCATTCACTGCAAAAAAATAAAAATAGTAATTAAAAAATAATTTAAAAAATGGTTCTGGGTTATCACTATGTTACTGTCACATTTCATTACGATGCTGTATAATTTCACATTCACAAAGTTGTGAATAAAAACAATTCCAGCTATTACACCAGGCAAGCACACACAATCTTATCCTAATAAATTGCAGGATACATTCATTGTACAGTTTTCATATCTGGGCCAGATACTAATTTTCCAGAACACTGATATTTTATTCATATGGCCTCTGTTAAGTACCCACAACATTAGTACACCTTTTCCTGAAAATTTAAATACACCACCAGAAAGATCAGAAGCTACTTAAATATTATTTCACTCCAACCATCTTAAATTACTTTTTCCATAAATTAATTCTTTAAACTGCATAGGTCAAACTAAACATACTTCCTCCTCCAACAATTCAAACAATCCAAATGTATAAGAAAAAGCAAGAAGGGCATGTCAGAAAGGTATTCCGTCTAAAAGATCTCTCTGTACTTCTCAACCAGAACTTCGCACCAAATGGGTACTCAAGTCCCCCTACTATACTCTTTCGCCCCCCAAATGGTCATTCAACCCAAGGAACAGAGAGAAGCTGTGAAATAATACTATCTTGACACAGAGTTCTCTAGAGGGGCGCTGTAGATGAGCCTTCCAATGGTGCCATAAGCAATGTGACTAACTTATGTCATCCATTTGTCATCACAGCCCTAAGGAGACAAAGTTTAGACTAGCATCTTGGTTTTAAATTTACAACATGCAAGCATATCAAAGTCTGAGTTTGTTAAAAAAAAAAAAAAAAAAAAGGCCTTCAGATTAAAGGGATCAGTTTTGGATGACTGTTTCCAACCAAAGGCACTCAACAAAGGCTATGAACTCTCCAAATCAACATCCATTTAAAAGCCTAAATTCTCCTACCTCACCTACCTCTGAAGAGCAGACACTGTTCTTCAGTCATCAATGATCTCAACAAGCACATGGCCACCTTTTGTTGTGCAGCCTTACGGAACAAAATATATGCCTGCCACAAATTTCCAGCCGCTTGCCTCTATAGCTTCTAGAAGAACAGACATGCTAGTCAGCAGAAACACACGTTACCACTAGTTTTGCTGCTATACCCTAGCACACAAGTAACTGCAACCATCACAATCTTTTCAATATAACAAGTAATGTCACTGAATCAGCTTACAAATCAGCAGTCACTATTTTACCTAAACAAGTAACTTCTACAAGCAGATTTAGGTTTAGGAATCTTTGATACTCATTTAGATAAAACTGTTGAGATAAACAGTGGAGATAAAGTCTGAATACTGAAACTATCAATGCTTGGCTTCTGATAGTTTTATGTCTCACAGCTGAGTTCTCATGTGGTTTTCTACCTACTTGGGGATTTTGCCACCTCTGCTCCTTATTTCTTCTTATAAGGTCTCTCTCTTCCAGCCAGCTGCCTGTTTTCATGTACTTTGTAAGTACATTATCATTTATAAGACTCCTAGACCTTCCATCAAATCAGGTGGAAACTTGTGATGGGTTCAGAAGTTGTTGGCTCTGTGTATCTCTGAAATTTGCCTGAAGAATCATTATTTACATCTTCTTAGCTTCATTTTGCAACTACTTGAAGTGTGTTGCATGACTACTGGCAAAGCTTTTTCATTCCCAATGCTAAGGTTACTTTTAAGCAACACAGTTTCTTTGCTTCTGCTTGGAAGTTCACACTTCTGTTCTGAGCCTGGCAACCTACTCAATGGTCTGACAACTGTGGTAAATCAATTTCTAAAGTAATATATGTTAAAACTTATGAATTTCAGTACAAAACAAAAAAAAAATGGAAGAAAGAATAATTAAATGCATTACAATGTAATATGCTTATGATGGGAACCAAATAGAGTTTTCTGCAGCAAACCAACATTATGGAAACTGTGGTTACTCTCTCTTCCTCAACAGAATGAAATCAATCAAAATTTCAACAATGTACAAGAATTTTATTGTTTTCCTCAGCTCAGAAGTTTTCATTTAAAATTGCCAAATTTGGTCAAGAACAAAAATTTGATTTGTACTGTGATGGTATTTTGAGAGTTCACTCAATTTTTTTGGTCCCTGCCAAATCCTGTCTCCTTGCACCTTTACCATCATGTTGAACTGTATATATCAGGAGATCTTTTTTGCCATAAGATACACCTAATGCTTTTAGTAATCACCAGTCTTTGTCTTTGAAAATTATACTATTCACTGCAAAAACTGACAAGGAAATATGTTAACATGCAAATTCTCACTATCTGAAACACCAGAGAAAATAACCTTCATCATTAGCACTTATATACAACACACACAACATGAAACAAGAACACCACTGTAAAATGGTGCGGGGAGTGGGGGAAAGCAAATTATATTCCTAGCAGTGACAATTAACCAGTAGCCTTGATTTTGTGGGCCATTTGCAAGTATACCAGCCAGTGGTATTGGCCTGACACATTCTTTCTGCCTCCAGTCACTAACTCATTAAGTCCCCAAGAGACAAAAACAGCGTTCGAGGGTTATCACTTCTAGAAATTCTTCCAACCAATCTCTGACGGTTTTAAACCCAGGTTTGGTTCTTTTTTTGTATTTTGAAGGCCTTTACCTTCTCTTCTTCAGCCCTGATCCATTTAACTGTTCCTCATATGCCAAACGACTGCTCTTGTATGCACACTTCTCTGTATCCCTTCAAGATGGGAGAACTAGAAGAGTAGATGCTTTCCCAGACTGGTTTTGTATAAGCACAGATTATTATTTTTTTTTTAAGCTGTTCCAATAAAAACTTTCCTGTTTGCATCAAAACCAAAACAACAGGTTCACAGCCCAGCATCTCTGGGCTGTCATAACTGGACAACTTTAGAAATAGCTACAATAGGAACTCTGAGTAAAGATCTCAAAGAGTAAATTCCAAACCCATGACATGGGCCAGCATCTGCAGTTAATCATCACACAGAAACAACAGAGAAGGTTTTTGTTTCTCCATCTTCCTATTCCTTTACAAAGTGCTTTGTTCTGAGACTACCACGTACTCCTTCTTGAACCTCAGAAAGATAGAAGGTATCTCTACAGTCATAATTGTCACACTTGCCTACTTTTCCCAGTTAACTGTGTCCATAAACTATAACCATGCGTTGTTTTCTTTGTAGATGCTTGACCATGAATAGAAGTGTAAAACACTGAAGTTCTGCTCCTTCCCAAAAAGTGTTCTGTTTCTTAAGTTACCAGGAACAAAAACATAACTGAGTTACAAGGAAAAGCAATATGAGCATAGTCTTCAAGGCAACACGTATTTTATTGGTTTGACCAAAAGAAAAAACAAAAACAAACCCTGAATCGTTACACTTCCTAAATTTCTTCATGAAAAATCTGTACAAGACCTATGCACCAATATTTCACTCAGTTCACACATCTAAAATTCTTATCCAGTCGCTGTCCCTGTTACAGCCGCAACTCAAGTCTCATTTACCTGGCTAACACCAGTTTGTTTCTGCTTAAGCCATGAGGACAATTTTTAATAACTCTTTGAACAGACTTCATTCCCATCACTACATCCCTCATGTGACTGAATGGTTCTACTCTACCAAGAGGCATTAACCAAGGAAAAATCAAAGTGTTGATACTGAG